ATCCCTGCCCAATGTTTCCCTGAGCACCTTAAGGTAGAATGTGAAAATACTGGCAAGAAGCTATGATATTCTCTGGTGTCTGGGGTTACTGAGGGTCCTGAATTGTCACAATCGCCCACCTTTAGCTTTTAATGAATGGCTGGCATTTCACGTTATTTTCTTCTTGTTCATATGGTGGCAGCTGCCCCTTCCCTTTATCGTCTGCCAAGGGGAAGAGTCCCCATATCCTATCCTTCCTTAAGGGATGATTGTCACCTTGTGAACTTCACTTCACCTGTGATCTTAGCTAAAACTGGTATGATTTTAATAGACTACTTGGCTTTCTCTTGTTTTGATGGTAGGAGCAATAATCTCTTGCACGTTTCTACTATCAAGCTGTTATCTTAACACCGAGTTTAAATTTTAATAATAGGTTTAAAGGTATAATGTGCTACTTGTGGCCATCCTCCACATGGCTGGTCTAAGGTAACAAAGCAAGCACTTGGTCCATGAACCTTGTTCACTGATGTCATTGTCACCCTGTGCCCTTACCGACCTACAACTGTATGAATATGATGCCCTTTCTTCAGTACCAATTTTCTGCCATATCATGTCTGGAGCAGAGTTAAACTCTAGTTCTTTTTCCCCCGTCCCTGTATCGTTACCTTCACAGGCCTCTCATCTCCCTTACTGAGCATCAGGAAGATGGGAAACAATATTAAAACCTGTGGATTTTTTACTCCTATTTTGGGAATTTTCCGTGTAAAGTTCTACTCATTTGAATGAGAAAACTATCCATTAGTAGTCTCGCCTTTGTAATTAAAATGCCTACTGCTGGTATCCTGACTCATACACAAATACATAAAATTTGATAGAGGGAGAAAGATGCACAGGTCTTTTCTTCACAATGGAGCTATGCTAAGAGGTCTGAACTATCAAATATAATTTTTTTATTGCTTTCATAATTGTTTTATCCTAACACTAATAAAGTTTTGTTTTCTGTGTTCCTCCCGAACCTTCCCCCCTGGACCCAAAGTGGCCTTCTCAATTCTCGAGCCAAGCACCAAGTATGGGGGGAAAAAAGGGTTAAAATGACTGACAATCTGAGCCAGAGGAAAAAAAAAAGAAAAAGAAGGAATAATCAGATGACTGTGTATCAGACAAATGGGTTAAGGGACTCAGGGGCTGTAAGGTTAGGGAGAAGAGAAAAATAGGGTACAGCATGATATTCCTATGCAAACTCTAGGGCTACGCTCAGTGACTTTGCTTTATCCTGTTCTGTGGTCCCGGTGTGAGTGTCCTTGACTAATACAATAGGGGGTTGGTCTCATCCATAGTTGAACCATGCTTCCCTTCCAGACCCTTGTAACCAGGCAAGGAGATGATGTATCTTATAATGTAAGCAAAGGAAAACAATTTACTCACAGGGCTTCTGGAAATTTGATAGTAAATATTTAAGTTATTATATAATATACAAGTATTAGAACAAGCTTTGCAATATTTCAAGCTCTGCAATATTTAGCAACTTTAAAAAATGAAAACGTATTCATCAAATGGTCAATAATAGTGCCAATTTAGCGACTTTCCATTTGGTCATATTTGAAGCACATGTATACAGCATTTAGAAAGATTTGTAGGAAACATTTTCGATTGAGGAAGGATGGCCCATAACAAGCTGCACTGGTAATGGCTTAATGATTTAATGACAGCTGTCTCTGGGTATAGGTTAACTAGATATAACAGTTAACTAGGTATAACAGGTAAACAATTTACATAAACAACACACATTTAGTGCACTGCAACCCAAAGAAAATCATGTATTTCCCTCTTTTCCTTTTATTTCTGTTCCTGTTTCATATCTACAATTTCCCCAATACCACATATTTTCTTTCATTCATTGAACATTGGCACTCACATTATATTAATTATCTGTTTCTTAATAGTCAAGCTCCAGTCACTCTGGGGGAGAAACATCTGGCAGTTTGTGTCCATGAAATTTCCAAGGTTTTGAAACCCTCTGGGCAATTCTCCTGTGTTGCATAGGGGAGCCAGGAGTCAGAATTAGCTGGTTGTCAATGGATTGTTTGGTTGGTATCTTAGAAGGTTGGCATCCTAAGGTGTTTGGGCTCCTCTTTCATTTTATTATAGAGTAAGCAGTTAAGTGCTCGAAAACTGATGACAGAAGAAATAGGTTGACAGTGAGTTGTCGTTGGATTTGGGGAATCTCAGCTATTGAAAAGGGAGTCAGAGAGCGCTGTGTTGATCACTAAACTCATGACATAGAAGATTGAAGAGAGAAGGCTTAGGTTTAATGAGATTTCGGGAAGAAGCATGGGGACTCTCTTGTTTGTCCTGACTCTCCTGTCTTTGAAGTCAACCTTGCCTGCAGTACCGTTTCCTCCGTATGGAGTTGATTCTCTCGCGGATCCACCTCCACCTAAAAGCCTGAATAGAGCAATTGTCCTAAAGTCAATTCCAATTCCCAGGTGCGTCAGAGGAGAATTATGTTTGAGCTTTGACTGTTTGTTTCACTGAACACAGTTTCAAATGGCTACGTTTGGGGAAGTAGATCACCAGACCATCCCTCCACGGGGCCTCTAAGTAGACTTGAACTGCCAACCTTTGTCATTAGTCATGTGCCTAACTGTTTACATCACCCAGGGACTCCAAAAGGTCTTGTGTCATTTTGCATCTCACCAGTGAGTAAAATATTTCCTCCCACTAGGGAAGATGGAGGAATTAAGATATGACTATGTAAGATGGTTAAATTGGTCTAAAGTCAACCCACAAGGAGGACTCCAGAAATGTTCTCTTCTTTTCATTAGAGAAACTTGGTAAAAAGATAAGCATGAGAGGAAAGTAGGGCAGGAACAGCAAGCCTTTAAAAGGAAGGAGGAACAGAAGGGAAAGCTTTGAAACAGCTGTGATACTGCGTTGGTGCTTGGAGGTGTTTCACAATACTAAATGCACATCTCACTTTATTCACAGGGCAATTCCATGACATACAAATCCACCTCTAGCATACACAGGATGGAGTAGAGGCCCCCACATGTTAAAAGACTGGTTAGTCATCATAGCGGTAGTAACTGGGGGAGCTATAAGAAGTTCAAATCCAACTCCAAGTCTTATTAATCTGTTACTTGGCTGGCTCTCTAACTTCTTTGACTTTATGATATGGTACAGATCACATTTATGACTCTCTCACTGAACGCTGACAGTGCACTAATCATTTCACCGTGTTAAGCTACTACACTTATTAGTAGAGAAAGAAGCCATCATTTTAAGGTTAGGATCGTGTCCAATTTTGTAATACAGCAGAAGACATTATATTGAGTGTATAGTGGGGAAACTGACAGCCAAGAACATTTATTTCTGTATAAGATTTTTAAAAATTCATGCTTTTTGTAATGTACAGGGATCATTTCCCAATATTTCAAAAATTTATTTTCATGACAACCATGTTTTAAAGAGACTAATTTAAGTTTTCTCTGTTATCATTTTAAGAATTAAAAAAAAGTCTCTGACCTTTGATCAAAGTAATGCCTCTTTTGATTCCAGTGGGAATGGCATCACTCATGAGGGCGTCATTACAATAATCAATGCCCACTGCCTACAGCAGAATTCTCAGAAAGTTCAGAACTGAACAGAGCAAGATGCCGCTTGAGAGTTTTCTTCTCTTCTGGTTGCTCACACAATTTGACTTCAATGTTGCCATCACTGAAGGCTTCTCCTTTGGTCTCCTCGACCAGATTCGCTCTCCGAGGGAACCTTCCTTTCTTTGGCATCATGGTTAGTCCTGAGTTGTCACGCCTCCGTGCTGGAGATAAGGATTCATTCACTAGGCAATAACAAACTGCAGACAGGAAGTTCTTTTTGAAGTTCTCATTCATAAATGCATACACAATGGGGTTGCAGATGGAATTGGAAAAGCCAATTATTTGCACGATGGCAAAAATCATCTTGATTGTGACATCATCATATTCCTTTTCAAAATTACCTGCAATAAAATAAGGCTTTAGAGTGCAGATTTGCTTTCATAAGCAAAACATAAAACTTCCACATAACATATATGACATTCTACAGGCTTACCTACGACACTGGTATGAGTTGTTGAATGCAAGATTAAAGACAAGACCATTTGGGGGACAGAGGCACCCTATGATCTAAATAAATATAACCCTCTGTGACGAATTTTCCTTCTCACGGAATCTAGGCCTACAAGAATGTAGCTTGGTGCCTGACATGTATTAGGGGCTCATTGTATCTCAACTTGATAACTCCACGTTATCTCAACTTGATAACTCCAAGCTTCATGTAAGCTGACAGGAGCAGTTCTTTCTGAAATGTCCATCTGTGTGCAACACATCCAGACTGAGAACCCCAGGCAGTACCTGGATATCAGAAAGAAGACCCTTCTGGTCTGATGGAAATCCCAGGTGTTATTTACTTTCACGTGGTTCGAGTCAGGTGTCTAAGTAGGAAAACCCCCACAGGAAGATATCACACCTCTCCCAATTTATAAATGAGCACTGAGCATCAAAAGAATAGCGGGGGTGGAAGAATTTCAAAAATGTCATCTTCTGTCATTATGAAAGATTTAGTCATAGCCAGTGCTCTCTCACTGCCACCTCATCAGTCCCTACTCATCAGGACCGCGGAGGACAGGGTAGCACTGCACCTGAGGGCTTCTGAAACTGTAACTCTTCATGGGAGTAGAAAGCCTCATCTTGCTTCCACAGAGCAGCTGGTGGTTTCAAACTGCTCTCGTTGCCATTAGCAGCTCAACGTGTAACCCCCCTCACCACCAGGGGGTAAGCATAGTCATTGTCATGCACAATTATGTACCATCATGCACGTGGTGGTCCTCCAAATGGGGAAGAAACAGAAATGCTTGGTTGCCTCGGAGAAGAGCCAAGCACTTCAATCATCCACTGCCCATTAAAGAAGAACGGCAAGCACTCACTGTATTCGATCATCATATGAACAACATGGAAGGGCGCCCAGCACACAGTGAAGAGAGCCACCACGGTCACCATCATCATGACAGCCCTCTTCTTCCTCCTGCACCCACAAAGAGACAGAGCGCATTGGTTTCCTCCTTGGGAAATAGGCCGAGTGGATACAGCAAATCTATCATATCGAGTTTGAGCTTTGACTTCTTAACCATCATTTTAAAAAAATACTCATACAAGCTGATTTTCATCTGTTCTCACTGGAATTTACGCACATTCCCCTGCTACCCATTGTCATTGAGTGCATCCCAACTCACGTCAAGCCTCCAGGGCAGAGTAGAGCTGCTCCTTGGCAGGCTGTAAATCATCACAGGAACAGATGCCTCATATGTCTCCAGCTGAGAGCACCTCGAAGGTTTGCACTGCTGACCTTGCACTTGGTGGCCCAGTGCATAACCTACTCTGCCACAGGGCTCTCACACCCCCTGCTTGCCTCATGTGAAAAACATACTTAGGACGTAAAAGGCAACAGAAAGGAAATGAAAGTCCCCCAAACGAGTCACCTGTGGGAAAAAACCTGTACTGAACAAAATGACGAGAACAGGCACCATTTCCGGAGTGCTCACGATGGGCTTGGCGCCTGTGCTGACTGCTGGGCAGGGAATTTGTCACTAATGTTCCCAATCCACATTTAATAAATGTAGAAACTAAGGAACTGAGATGGTTCATCTGCAAACTCAGATAAGCGCTTAGTTCAGCAGGTGTTTGGGGTTTATACTGTTGTCCTGTAAACATATTTTTAATGTCATTTGGAGCCAGGCAGTCTAACTCAGCGCATAAGGTCTTAGTCACTTTATACTTAAAAGTGGTTTTGATAATGCCTTTGATAATGAAGCCTCCCTAGTTGTGTAATGCTTGGAGCCTGTAGGATAGAATTAAAAATATTATCTTTTATATCGAAATACTAAGATTACACAGATTCAAGCTAGGTTTCTCCATTGGGCTGGTGATAAAGATGAGCATTTGCAAGAGGTCTACGTTTGCGCAGTATTTTAGGTTTATAAAAATGCCACGCTCGTTATCTCTTGTTTCAACAAGCTAGAAGTGGGAGAGCTAAATGAGCAATGTGAACCAAGACCCACAGTGGTTCATGGGCTCCCACTGTCAGTGAGAAGGAAGAGTTCTTTATACAAACAGGACACTAGAGGTCGCTGCACACTTCAAGAATTTATAACCCACTAAATCCAGACTTCTCCCAAGAGCCTTTAGTTTCTTTTTAAAATAACCATTGACTGTAGAGTATAAAATAAACCGTATGAGTGATAGGTACTATAGCAGTGTATTTTGTTTTCAAGGAGCTATTAATGAACAAGAAAAGTTCTGGTCCAGTAGTGGTTACATGTTGGGCTAATAACTGCCAGGTCAGTAGTTCAACACCACCAGGGGCTGCTAGGGGAAAGATGAGGATTTCTACTCCTGTAGAGAGTTACCATCTTGGAAACTCAGAGGGAAGGTCTAGTCTGTCCCCTTGGGTTGACATGAGTTGGCATTGACTCAAGGGCAGTGAGTTTCATATTTTGGTTATGAACACAGCAAACATCTTAGGAAAAATAAAATAATCTTATAGAATTAGCATACTTTCAGCATATTCTACTATCAAAACGGTTTCCACACGTATCATCCCTCATGGCCACCAAGCACAGGGAGGGGAGAAAGCAGACTGGAAGTTGCTTTGCTCCCTTGTGTATGTGAGAAAACCAGGACCTGTGAGCAGACAGACAGATGCACATCACAGGACTGTGGGTGGAAACCCTGGGTCCTGAAACGAGCTCACAGATCTTCCTACCAGGTCATATTCCACAAGCAGATGAAAATATAACAATTTTCTAAATCAAACGAAGTTCGTTCCTGCAACAGCTACATCCCTTTGATTTTGAACCTGTGGGGTTTTCGGTTTGGTTTTTGTTTTCCTGCCATCCACATAACCTTAAAAGGGAAAGGTCAGCCCTACCCTAATTTATAAGCTCTAACTATAAATTAATCATGATGGCTTGACCTAGTTAGTAAAGAATTCTGGGATCTCGCACTGCTCTTAAGTTTCATGGCAATTAATTAGCATATTTTAAACATACATGAATATTTTATTCAACCAACCTGGCTATTTTGGACATTTCTTTTCCATGAATAGTTTGCAGCACTGAACCATCTCCCACTCTTTTCTTTATCCAAAGTTCATAACCAATTTTACTGTAGAGGATCAGCATCACCATAAGGGGCAGAAGGAAGAGGATAACAAGGATGAAAGTAGTGTAGATTTTCTGGTGCGCAGGGCTGGCCCACTCTTCCAAACAGCAGACATGTTCTTTTTCATACAAAAAGTCATATTTAATCTTGAAGACAAGAACAATTCAGTTAGCAGAACTAGTATGCAGAATCAAAAGAACAAAAAGGCAGCCAATTATTATGACAACTGCGTTCTGCCTGGTGATTTAGAGATACAAATCCAGTTACACACATCTTTGTAAAAGAAAGCTTTATATTCAGAAGCAACGATACATCAAGAGGGCATCCCAGCCCACTCCAACTCCAGTCCACAAATCAGATGATAATCCTTATGTCCCTCTTCAGACTCGCATAGCCGGTGACACAGAATGGTGAGCCAGGAAGCAGGAAGATCGCAGGCTGGTGGGTACAGAGTGGCGTGGATCCAAAGTCAGTGGAAACACAGGGGAATGCTGACAGCTCTCAGGGTCATCAACAGAGTCCCAGCAAGCAGGAAGGTGAAGGGGCTGAGAGAGAGGGAGGTTCTGCTACTTAAAAGAAGGCCACACCCCCAGGGATGCATCACCAGGCGGAGAACTGATTGACAGATTGGATTCCACCCCTACACTTTCCTACATGGTCACACTGACCTAAAATCATTTAACTACCACAACAACCCACCCCTTATCTTTCAGTTTGTCATTCTGAGATGGCTTGCATGTTGCTGCCATTTTGGAAGCTATGTAACCAGTATTTCAAATACCAGCAGGGTCAGCCTGGATTGACAGGTTTCAGCAGAGCTTCCAGTCTAAGACTAGAAATAAGAACCTGGCAAGAGACTGCAAATATAAGCCAGTTTGAAAACGTCATGGATGGTAGTGGAACATGGTCTGATATAGCGGCAGAAGATGAGCCCCTTGATTTAGAAGACACTCAAAACAATGACACTGAAGAAGAGCAGCCTCTTCAAAATAGAGCATGGCATGAACTGAGTCAAACTTTCATCACTTATATCACCTGAAGTAGCATGGCTCAAAAGGATAAGAAACAGCTGCAAGCACCCATTCCTACTTGGAAACTGGAAAATTCAACGTATGAGTCTAGGAAGACTAGAAGTGGTAAAACATGAAATGGAATGGTTGAAGATCAATACCTGGGCATTAGTGAATGCAAAATGGAATCGCTATTTTTCATCAGACATCATATGGTCGACTACCCCAGGAATGACAAACTGAAAAGCAATGGCTTCACATTCATTATAATAAAGAATAGTTCAAGATCTATCCTGAAGTATAACACTGTCAATGATAGGATAATATTTATACACCTAAAAGGAAGACCACTAAATAAAACAATTATCCAAATTTACACCCAGACATCAAGGCAAATGATGAAGAAATTGAAGAGTTCTACCAATTTTTTTTTTCACTTTTAAATTGATCAAAGGTGCAATCAAGAAGCATGGATAATTTTTGGTGATTGGAATGTGAAAGTTGGAAACAAAGAAGGGCCTGGCCTTGCAGGACACAGGAAGTAAGGTAATAGACATGACTTCTTCATTGGAAGTACCTTTTTAAAGATCAGGCGAGATAGTCAGGAAGCAAGGTGGCCACAGCTGTGGGAAGAGATGGTGGAGAAACACGGTATCCTCAATCATGGGATTTCTGTGGACAAGACCATCAGTTGCTCATTTGCAACTTCAAGTTGAAGCTGAAGAAAATGAAAAACAGTCTACAAGAGCCAACGTGCAAACAGGAGTACGTCGACCTGAACGCGGAGACATTTGCAAGAGCAGATTGGAGGCACTGAAGACTAATGGCTGAAGACTAGATGACTTGTGTAATGACATTAAGGAAATCGTACATGAAAAGGGCAGAAGGTCACGTAAAAGGCAGAAATAAAGATCAAATTAGATGTCAGGAGAGACAGTGAACCTTCTTGAACATAGAGTGGTTAATAAAATATTTTAGTGAAATGGGCAATTGCCTGGAGTAAGAAAACCAAAAGGGGAGAAAATTCTCTCCTTTTCTCACGTGGAAAAAAATGACTTGAAGCTATAAGTTTTAATTGCACTATTGCAGGATGACATGGGCACAATATTGACTGATCTAGGAACCATCAAAAGAGCACAGGAGGCGTGCCCAGTCATAGAAGCTAAATGAATTGGTCACCATACACCCATTTCAGGAACGAGGAAGAACGAATATTACTGTAGGCAGAAGACCAAGCTTCACTATACGGATTAGGGGTAAAAAGTGCCAGGAGTTGATGAAATAGCAATTGAGATGTTTCAACACACCTGAATGTTTCAACAAATGTACACAACACTGGAAGCCATCAGCTGTCTAAGCCAAGAAATTTCAAAGAGCTATCTAGCCAATGGAAGCGATCTACATCTGTGCCCATTTGGAAGAAAGTTAATTCATCAGAACAAAGAAATAATAAAAATATAATTTATGTCCCAAATAAAATTATGCTAAATATGTCACAAATCGGAGCAGTCATACATACACAAGAAACTGCGAGGGGAGATTCAGAAGTGGATATGAAATGAGGGATATAATTATTTACTAAAGCAAAGAAGATGAGAAAAATGATTATCTGTGCTTCGTTGGTTATATGAAAGTATTTGATTTTGTGAATCACAACAAATTGTGGATTACATTGCAATGAATGGGAATTGCAGATGACTTCAGTGTGCTTATGTGCAATCTGCACGTGGACCAAGGGCCATTGTTATAGAATACAGGGATGTTGCCCGGCTAAAAATCACAGATGTGTGTCAAGTTGTTATCTTCTCACCAAATTTATTCAATCTGTGAGCAAATAATCTAAGAAGCTGATGTCAGATGATCGTGGCTCACAGCAGAGAGTCCCAGAAGCTGTTCGCCTGTGTCGTGTTGACTATACCAAGGCATTTGACTGTGTGGGTCACAACAAGCTGTGGAAAACCTGGAGAATAACGGGATTTCCAGCACACTTCACTGTACCCATGAGGAGCTTGTTCATGGATCAGGACTCAGCTGTGCAAACAGAACAAGGGAATACTATGGTTTAAAATCAGGAAAGGTGTGTGACAGACTTGTATCCTCTCAACACCCTTACTCAATCTGTATGCTAAGCAAATCATCGGAGAAACTGAATTATATGAAGAGGAACATGATATCAGGATTGAAGGAAGGCTACGATATGGAACTGACAAAATCTTACTTGCTGAAAGCAAAGAGGACTCGCATCATTTGCTGATGAAGATCAAGGATTGTAGCCTTCAGTGTGGATTACAACTCAATGCAAACAAGACCAAAATCCTCACAACTGACTGATGGGTAAGATCTTGATAATTAAAGAAAAGATGGAAGTTGTCAAAGATTTTGTCTGGCTTGGATCCACAATCAATTCTCACAGAAGCAGCAGTCAAGAGACCAAAAGATGTATTACATTAGGTAAACCTGCTGCACAGACCTCTGTAGAATAATTGAAAAGCAAGGATGTTACTTTGAGGACTAAGGTGCACCTGACTCAAGGCATGGTAATTTCCAAGGCATGGTAAAATCCAGCATTTGAATTGTGATGCTGGAGAAGAATAGTGAAAGTCCCATGGACTACTAAAAGGACAAACTGATCTGTCGAGTCCAGGAATGGCAAGACTTCATCTTACATATCTTGGATATATTATCTGGGGAGATCATTCCCTGAAGGGCATCATGCTTGGTAAGGTGGAAGGGCAGCCCGAAAGATAAAGAATCTCAGTGAGCTGGATTGCCATAGGGGCTGCAACCACGGGCGCAGGCACAGGACCAAACGTGAGACGGTGCAGGACTGGGCAGTGCTTCATTTTGTTGGACATAGGATTGAGATGGGTCAGAATTAACACGATGCCACCTGACAACACAAACCACTGGGTTGTATGAAGAAGGAGACAGAATTAGGGTTGGAGAATAACTCCATAACAATCTGCATACGCAAATGACACAGCCTTGCTTGCTGAAAGTGAGGGGGGCTTGAAGCACTTACCGATGAACATAAAGGTTACAGCTATCAGTACGGATTAAATCACTTTAATATTAAGAAAATAAAAATCTTCACAACTAGACCAATAAGGACATCACGCCAACGGGAGAAAGGGGATGTGTCGGGGATTTCATTTTACAGCCTGGAGGCAGCAGTCAAGAAGTCCAACAACGCAGGGCACTGGACAAATCTATTGCGAAAACCTCTTTACAGTGTTTGACAATGTTTTTTTTTGCTTTGTTTTGTTTTAAAGATACCACCTGTGGACTAAGGTAGGCCTGACCAAACTCATCACGTATTTAAATCTTCCATGCATGTAAAAGCTGGACAATGATAAGGGAGAACAAAGAAACTCTGGTTCATTTGAATGAAGGAACTGGCACAGAATATTAAATATACCATGAATTGCCAGAAAAACAAATCTGTTTCAGAAGCAGTGCAGGAAGAATAGTTCTTAGAAGCAAGAATGGTAAAATAACATCTTAAAAACTTGACACTTGTTATCCGAAATCTCTGGAAAAGTATTACATTATATTTGGTAGAGAGTCAGTAAAAAAGAGGAAAGCCCTAAAAAAAAAATGGCTTGGTACAGTGGCTGCAGCAGAGCTCAAACAGAACACTCATCAGGATGTTGAAGGACCAGACTATGTTTCATTGTAGTAATTCAGGACTGCCGTTCAATGACATGCTAAACCAATGATAGTGTGGCAATAAAATATTTTAAGTCCGTAAACATGAACAATTGTACATATTTCAGATGGGATATAATGTTATTTATTCTTTTGTTACAAAGTATGGCTTTTCCATGTAAGTGCTTGATTTCTTCTAAATTTTACATTTTTAAAAGTTTTAAATAGAATTGAAGCGCACGTTCTTGATTGTATTCGTTCTGTCCAGCCCACTGTTGCGGCCAGTGCTGCGATCCATCTTGTCGACGATTTTCCTCTTCGTCAGGGATCCTCTACTTTACCAAAGCACGATGTCCCTGTCCCGGGAGCAGACTCTTGACAACGTGTCCAAAGAGTGTGAGACAGTCTCACCATCCCAGTGCGAGCGTTCTGGCTGTACTTTCTCCAGGACAGATTCGTTTGTTCTCCTGGAGGTCCAGGATGCTTTC